GTGTTGTCTAATGGTAGACCCTGCTGCCATATGGCATCACGAAAATTGTGACCAAGTCCCAGGTTCAGCGCTGACCTGACTTTCTGCCTCATTTACACACAATTGCAGGGTCTCAATTGTTTCGCTTACTTTTGACAACACAATACTTCTCACTTGTGATTTTTTTTTCATTTTTGTATTTACGGTTGTTTATTATTATTGTTATTATTATTATTATTATTATTATTATTATTATTATTATTATTATTATTATCATCACTACAGAGTTATTATTATTATTTATTATTATTACTTTTTCGCCCCCCAGGCCCCGATGTGGGTCAGTGACCTGTGCCTGGGTGGGCTAATCCCCGTATAAAAAAAAAAAAAAAGGAATCACCCTATTTAATGGGTGTTGTTCAGAATTCTTGGTCCGGTGTGTCATATTGTATAACACACTAAAGGAGCAAATGGTTTTTGATGACTGTACACCACGAAGTATAATAGTACAGCTAAGTACAACAGTCAGCACAAAGTAGCAGATAAATACACTTGTGAAGCTTACGGAATATGCTGTACACCATAAACTGGATATCAAAGAGAAAAACTGTAATGTTTGTAAATAAACATCAAGACAATATACTATATACCAGACGACAACAATAACATATTTACCTATACAATACTGTTACTACAGTTGGCTCAATAGCTAAAAAATGTCATGACACACACACACACACACACACACAACCTCGTCTGCAAATTTGGCGAGATCGGGAAAAGAACGGCTCTGTAGAGATTATCAACAACTCGTAATCAATCAGTGAATTCGCTCCCAGTCACTCTTACCTTTTGCACTGTCACTATGTATAACCTTCTCCCTACCTAGTTTTTATATATCATATTTGAATCACATATGTTATTTGTATATTATTTGTCAAACAAGTGACCCATTCCCGCATTATGCAACTGTATATTTTCAGCCTTCCGGCTGCCATGTTCTTTCAATAAACTGTTAATTATTATTATTATTATTTCACCAGAGGACTGGGAGAAGTCTTGGATAAAAACACGTGTCATGAGATTTATGTTTTATATATTTAATACTTATGCACTTGTACACGCTGTTGGCAAGTACTGTACTGGGCCTGTACTGTATAGTCAACAACAAAAAAGTATCTCGACGTCTTTGAAAATGAGCAATAACTTGAGAGGCATTGATGTATGGGCTGCTACACTGCATAAAACCTGACGACCCCCTGTAAACGCACTAGTGAATGGGACTGTACTTTGACCAAGGACATCCAACAAACCCCTCAGTAGGGTCCATTAGCTTAATGCCAGCAGCATCTGGCGGATCCAACGTTGATTAACTTAACTAATTGGACAGGAAGAGAAGTATTCAACATGGCATGACAGTGGTAAACGTCAGCCAGCTAGTCACTTTTATATAGATCTTCTAATGTATGTCACATATTAAAGAGCCATTGTAGTCTACACACAAGCAAGATAACATTACATACATAATGATGAAATATATATATGGAATGATCGTCAAATGCTAAGTGACACTGCCATATAGGAGCAGAGCTGATCTACCGCTACACAACGATAAACACGGGAAAACTTCTTAGTCTTCGTCCGATGTTTCATATTGTTACGCACAGCAAGCGTAGAGATATTACTTTTGCTGACTGTAGCAACCTGTTGAGTAGTACTGGACATGTATGGGTTCTGTTACACACTGTTAACAAGTACTGGGCATGTGAGAGCTCTTAAGCATGTGACAACAGCTATTCTAACGTGTAAGTTGACCGTAAGCATCACTAAGTCACCTTAGTGCCCTTGATGGTGAAGATAACGCAACACAGGTGGGTCTATTATAACACAATGTTGCAACAGATGGAGAAAAACTTCAATAAACATGTAAGTCTACGTTTTATACCTTAAGGATGAATATACACTATACGGAAACTCAAAAACAAATACCGTAAGTCATCGTGTTTACCAGATACCAGAATGGACAAATGAACGGACAGACACGAAATAAATATCTTCCGTCACTCGCCTGCAACGTATTCACGACACTCGTTAATTTCACATACATAAAGCCGAATGCTGGGCCATGACGATGTAAATAAAGTATGTTATTGTTTTGGGAAGGTTAAGTTAACGCGAGAAAAAAATAGGAATATTTTTTTTTATTATTCAAAGCTAAAAATTTGTAAGATATTAGCAAAATAATAATAAGAAAATTTATATTTTAGTTTAATTCGATATACGAGGTCAAGGAAGAACATTCAATGTGGTCAGCGAGGGACTGTGGGAACTCACGTGAACTAGCTAAGTATCCCAGAGAAGAAACAGTCGGTGAGGAACAATTTTCTGTTCTTGGGGGACTCAAATACTACTCTCGTGCCCACCACCAGACACCTGTCTCTACACAACTTCTACGTTTCTATATTTTCATAATAAAATAATGAAACACGGGGGTGAACTAAATCACACAGCGGACAATTTGAGAGAAAAAACACGACTGCATGGACAAACTATTTACACAGTGAATAAAGCATTTCATCATAACACATGCCACCAGTACAGTATATTGCCATATGAATAGAAACAAAAGAGATGAATGGGGTTGGGAACAATAACTGTAAAATCCTACAGTGGCAGGAGTCCCAGACCAGACTGTCAGCAACACACGCCAGGTCTGACGCGGCCACCACCAGTAGTAAACAAATGAACCACTACTGAGGTGTAGTATCCGGCTGACACACCGCTCTTAATGGGTCACCTATCAAGTAGCCTCAAGAAAGCACAAATCCCTCACCCAATCAACTCGGACTTCTCCTTTAATAATGACTGGCCATCTATTTTAGTCAATACGCTCTTTAATATCTTCTTTTTTACCCAATTAAGATCACCTGAAGATTACCTCCATTAGCTTATTCCACTTTTATGACTTAAGCCCTAATGCTAACCTAACTTACTCGAACCTACCCCCCCCACCCTTCCCAGGTAGCGTTAGGCCTAAATCTTCCAAATACACAAGCTGTGGTGGTCTAATCTTCAGGTGTTCCATTTGTATTTACTTCCGACTTGCAGCTCAATTATTCTCCAGCTACCTCCTTGCTGAGTCACCTGTCTGTCGCAGTGTCGAAAACATACCAGCTCGCTCTTAATAAACCATGGCTTACAACTGGATGCTCACGGATTCACTTTGTACACCCTGGAATAATGGTTGTCATTTCGCCGTACAAGCGTGTGGTGGTAGTGGTGGTAGTGGTTGGTGTAGATGTTTCGACTGTGTGAGGATTGACATGATGTGGTGTAGTCCAGTGGTTAACGTAATGGTGTGATGTGGGTCACACCGTCCCCTTCTGGTCCTCCCTCCCCACCACACACAGCTGGCTATCCTCACACCCACACAACTGGCTATCCTCACACCCACACAGCTGGCTATCCTCACACCCACACACAGCTGGCTATCCTCACACCCACACAGCTGGCTATCCTCACACCCACACACAGCTGGCTATCCTCACACCCACACACAGCTGGCTATCCTCACACCTACACAGCTGGCTATCCTCACACCCACAGCTGGCTATCCTCACACCCACACAGCTGGCTATCCTCACCCCACAGCTGGCTATCCTCACACTCACACAGCTGGCTATCCTCACACCCACAGCTGGCTATCCTCACACCCACACACAGCTGGCTATCCTCACACCCACACAGCTGGCTATCCTCACACCCACACAGCTGGCTATCCTCACACCCACACAGCTGGCTATCCTCACACTGGCCTGGCCAATGACCAACATGTGTCGTCGCTGAACAGTTGGTACACGCACACTCAGCCTCCAGCGTATACAAGCCTCACTCACGGCGCTCCACCACCCGGGTAGTGGTCCTTGGTGTCACGTCTGTCTGTCAGCATAACACAGGCTTTCCAAGGAGTTACTGACAGACACACAGACACACACACACACACACACACCAATATAAACCATAAATAACAAACAATAATAATAATAAACACAATGGGACTCAAGACGTAATAACAAGGAGGAAGAGGATGGTGTTGTACTTTATTATGCATAAATGGTCTGGTAGAGTGCCAGAGCAATACGGTTGATACTGATGAAATACGACCGCCATCAATACAGGTACTCATTAAGCACCTGAGGATGGGGACACACACCCGCCAACTCCTTCGTTAATAATATACAGTACCCCGCTGCCCTGGTCTGGCGACACTGGCCTCCCACACCACATAACTAACGACGGAAGCAACACTAGGCAACTCTCAACACCTTCTGGGAGTAAGAAAACAAATGCAATTGACGGCCACAAAATTCTAAAAAGAACAAGAAAAGAAAGAATGCGAAAAGACAGCGCTACCACCATCACTGGCGGTGGATCACTCCTGCCAGCCGTGCACATGCTGACAATACACCCCCGCGAGGACGACGCAACACACACACACACACACGTACATCACGACCGTCAGTCTCCATGATGGCCACACAAACATCTAATTCAGGAAGGCTTATTTCTCCTTCCTTAACGCCAGATGAACATTTACATCCAACATTACCCAGTAACATAATACCTCAAGATGAGGCATGCCGGAAGTATAAATATTCCACTAAATACTTAAGTTATATATTAATTATGGTACATGTGCACGCCATATAGACGATAAGATGTTCCAACAATATTTGTAGCGATAAAGTCTCTGATAAGTTCAACTGTCCGTTTTGTTTAAAATATAATATGGTGTCTCAGTAACATACCATAAATACACCTTCAATTAAAATAAATAAATAAATAAATAAATAAATAAATAAATATATATATATATATATATATATATATATATATATATATATATATATATATATATATATATATATATATATATATATATATATATATGGTTTATACTTATGTTAATTGAGGAATTAGTAGTTAGGTGGTGGAGGGAAATATATTCAGCTCAATCTTACCGTTGTGGGGTGGTGCTTCATACTAACTGGCCCGGCCGCCTGCCATCATTGTAAGTCCCTGGGCACCAGCAGTACGTGTCTGGGTGGACTGTTGCTGTTACACCAGCAGTGTCCTCCTCACTCCCCACACACGAGTACACCAGCTCACTCCACTCTTCATGGAATGCATGTTACACACACCAGCACATGAACACCGTAGACTCAGTCGCTAGTTCTTCAGCGACGTTTATCACTAATTTTCTCACTAGTACGTACAACACTTTTTTTATCAGAATAGAACCATAGATAACACAATGTTGATTTTAATGTGTAGTACAAGTTAGAGCAACGAGTTCAATGAACCGCGCGCCACACTCACTCACGTCCTACCTCCAGCTCAGCTTGTCACCTAATGCCAACGTGTCCGCTCTGCCGCCGCTCTTATACGTGCGGGGTCTGGCCTAATAAATAGCCGCTGCCTCGAGTAGTGAGTGTATGTATACCTCCTCGGTCACCAGCCACCTCGTAATTCCCAGCCCCTGATATGACTCTTATCACTGTGTGTGTGTGTTGGACGGTTTGTGTACGTACATCCAAACGAGTGGTGAGCCTGGCCTGCGCTAGTAGGGCCATCACACACTGGGGGCAGTACACCGCCTCAGCAAGGACAACCTCACCATATTACAATCTGGCGTAACATCCGCCCAACCACTCGTCTAGGATCGATTCCCCAGTCACTGCCCCCCCCCCCCTACTCTCTCTTCATCTCTTATACTCTTCTCATAAGAACGGCAAGACTCATTGACTGACTCACTCACTCACTGACAGATTCACCGACTGACTGACTGACTGACTTACTGTCTGACTGACTCAAACGTATGTGCAAGTGAACGCCAGGATTTCGAACATGAACGTTTTTCGGATAGGAGCCCCCAAACACAAGACAATTTACGATTCTATTGGTGTAATTAATTTAGGATTACAATATTTAATAGAATTTTCAATGAGTTACGACACTTCGTGCTGTTTTTCTAGTGTATACGTTTTATTAATTGTTATATGCGTTTTATAAATAATTTTTTCGTAAGTGCGTTTAAGTAATTAGTACGTACGTTTTATTAGGGCTTTTTTCCAGTACGAAGATTTTAGTCTTTTTTTTTTTGTTATGCTATCTTATTTTTAGGAAATGTTGGCGTGGCAGGATGTTACATACATCCTGCGTCCTACACCGCGTCCTGTCAAGCTACCACACGCACACACACACAGCAGTCACTGTTCTACGTCTCACTACACGCCAGACTATATTATTTATATATATATATATATATATATATTACGTCATACTAAATGCCAGAGTATGTGAGTCACGCCACACTACACTCCTAATTGTATGACCCACGCCACAGTCATTGCAACGCGTCAAACTACACGACACAGTCACTGCAACACGTCAATTTACACGACATAGTCACTGCAACGCTTCAAACTACACGCCACAGTAACTGCAACGCGTCAAACTACACGCCACAGTCACTGCAACGCGTCAAACTACACGCCACAGTCACTGCAACACGTCAAACTACACGCCACAGTCACTGCAACGCGTCAAACTACACGACACAGTCACTGCAACGCGTCAAACTACACGACACAGTCACTGCAACGCGTCAAACTACACGACACAGTCACTGCAACGAAACTACACGACACAGTCACTGCAACGCGTCAAACTGCACGACACACTCACTGCAACGCGTCAAACTACACGCCACAGTCACTGCAACGCGTCAAACTACATGACACAGTCACTGCAACTCGTCAAACTACATGACACAGTCACTGCAACAAGTCAAATTACACGCCAGTCACTGAACACGTCAAACTACACGCCATAGTCACTGCTGCATGTCACAGTCACTGCTGCACGTCACAGTCACTGCTGCACGCCAAAATACACTCCTCAGTCACTGCTACACATCACAGTTATTGCTACATGCCACACTGCACGCCAAAATACACGCCATTCACTGCAACACGTCAAACTACACGCCATATTCACTGTTGCATGTCACAGTCACTGCTGCACGCCAAAATACACTCCTCAGTCACTGCTACACATCACAGTTATTGCTAATTGCCACACTGCATGCCAAAATACACGCCATTCACTGCAACACGTCAAACTACACGCCATAGTCACTGTTGCATGTCACAGTCACTGCTGCACGCCAAAATACACTCCACAGTCACTGGTACACATCACAGTTATTGCTACATGCCACACTGCACGCCAAACGACACGCCATAGTCACTGCTGTATGTCACAGTCACTGCTGCACGCCAAAACACACTCCACAGTCACTGCTACACATCACAGTTATTGCTACATGCCACACTGCGCGCCAAAATATACGCCACATTCACTGCTACACGTCACACTTCACGCCACAGTCACTGCAACACATTAAACTGCACGCCAGTCACTGCCATGCCACAATACACCCCCGAATCACTGCTACGCTCTACAGTCACTGCTCTACCCCTAAGAAAATAAAGCTAGCCAATATACACAGTACTTAGATGCAGTCGAGTATATACACGGTATTATGGTTCAGTGAATCAGTGAATGAAACGCTTCAGTCAGTAAGTCATATGGTTTACTGAATCAGTTAGTGGTACGGCTCACACCTCAGAAATGGTTTCAATTCTCCAAACAAACACACTAACAAACCCACAAACACATTAACAAATAAACCCACAAACATATTAACAAGTAAACCCACAAACACACTAACAAATAAACCCACAAACACACTAACAAATAAACCCACAAACACATTAACAAATATTCCCACAAACACACTAACAAATAAACCCACAAACACACTAACAAGTAAACCCACAAACATACTAACAAGTAAACCCACAAACACACTAACAAATAAACCCACAAACACTAACAAATAAACCCACAAACACACTAACAAATAAACCCACAAACACACTAACAAGTAAACCCACAAACACACTAACAAATAAACCCAAACACATTAACAAGTAAACCCACAAACACACTAACAAATAAACTCAAACACATTAACAAGTAAACCCACAAACACACTAACAAATAAACCCAAACACATTAACAAGTAAACTCACAAACACACTAACAAATAAACTCAAACACATTAACAAGTAAACCCACAAACACACTAACAAATAAACCCAACACATTAACAAGTAACCACAAACACACTAACAAATAAACTCAAACACATTAACAAGTAAACCACAAACACACTTTAACAAATAAACTCAAACACATTAACAAGTAAACCCACAAACACATTAACAAGTAAACCCACAAACACATTAACAAGTAAACCACAAAAACATTAACCAAGTAAACCCACAAACACATTAACAAGTAAACCCACAAACACATTAACAAGTAAACCACAAACACATTAACAAGTAAACCCACAAACACATTAACAATGAAACCCACAAACACATTAACAAGTAAACCCACAAACACATTAACAAGTAAACCCACAAACACAAACAAATAAACACCTTAACATACCCAAACACACTACCAAATAAACTCAAACACATTAACAAGTACAAACCTCCATACCCAACACATTAACAAGTAGTAAAACCCACTAACAAATAAACTCAAACACATTAAAATAAACCCAAAACACATAACAAACCCAAACACATTAACAAGTAAACCCACAAACACATTAACAAATAAACCCAAACATTAACAAGTAAACCCACAAACACACTAACAATGCACAAACACATTAACAGTAACCACAAACACTAACAGCCCAAACACATTAACAAGTAAACCCACAAACACACTAAATAAATCATAACAAGTAACCCACAAACACATAAGAAGTAAACCCACAAACACATTGAAGTACACATTACAAGTAAACCCACAAACACATTAACAAGTAAACCACAAACACATTAACAAGTAAACCCACAACACACATTAACAAGTAAACCCACAAACACATTACAAGTAAACCCACAACACATTAACAAGTAAACCCACAAACACATTAACAAGTAAACCCACAAACACATTAACAAGTAAACCACAAACACATTAACAAGTAAACCACAAACACATTAACAAGTAAACCACAAACACATTAACAAGTAAACCCACAAACACGTTAACAGTAAACCCACAAACACATTAACAAGTAAACCCCACAACACATTAACAAGTAAACCCACAAACACATTAACAAGTAAACCCACAAACACATTAACAAGTAAACCCACAAACACATTAACAAGTAAACCACAAACACATTAACAAGTAAACCCACAACCATTAACAAGTAAACCCAACACATTAACAAGTAAACCCAACACATTAATAACCCCATTAACAAGTAACCACATTAACAAGTAAACCCACACATTAACTGACCACAAACATTAACAAGTAAACCACAAACCATTACAAGTAAACCAACAACACGTTAACAAGACCCACAAACACATTAACAAGTAAACCCACAAACACATTAACAAGTAAACCCACAAACACATTAACAAGTAAATCCACCACATTAACAAGTAAACCACAAACACATTAACAAGTAAACCCACAAACACATTAACAAGTAAACCCAACACATTAACAGTCCACAAACTAGATAACAAGTAAACCCACAAACACATTACAAGTAAACAAACACACACATTACAACAAACCACACATTAACAAGTAAACCCACAAACACATTAACAATAAACCCACAAACACATTAACAAGTAAACCCACAAACACATGAACAAGTAAACCAACAAACACATTAACAAGTAAACCCACAAACACATGAACAAGTAAACCCACAAACACACTAACAAGCCAAACCCACAAACACATTAACAAGTAAACCAACAAACGCATTAACAAGTAACCCACAAACACTAACAAATGAAACACAAAACACATTAACAAGTAAACCACAAACACATGAACAAATGAGCACGACACACTAACAAGGTAAACCAACAAACATATTAACAAGTAAACCCACAAACATGAACAAGTAAACCCACAAACACACTAACAAGTAAACCCACAAACACATTAACAAGTAAACCCACAAACACATTGTAAATAAACCCACAAACACATGAACAAGTAAAATAACAAACACATTAACAAATAAGCCACAAACACATTAACAAATGAAGCCCACAAACACATTAACAAGTAAACCCACAAAACACACTAACAAGTAAACCCACAAACACATTAACAGTAAACCCACAAACACGTTAACAAGTAAGCCACAAACACATGAGACAAGTAAAACCCACAAACTTACGCTGCTTAAAGTAAACCCACAAACACATGAACAAGTAAACCCACAAACATATTAACAA